TCACATGCGTCGTCGCCGAGAGCCCACCACCACTTCGTAGAGGAGTGCGACGTCGAACATCGACGTCGGCGTGCGAGCTGCCTGCAACCGCCGTCGACCGCTGCACTCGCGCCTGGATTCCGTCGACACCACCGTCGACCTTGATCACTCCTCTATGCCTCGTGCCTTCGCTGCCGCTGACTCGTGCACCACCGTCGACCTCGTCGTCGACGCCACCTTCGTTGCGCACCGGTCAAGGAGAAGCATGACGAGAAGGGTGTTCCGTCGCCCACTGCGACCGGATGCCCAACTCGGCGATCACTAAGGGGATCGTCCCGTACTCGCCATTCGCGTGGCGTCTCCTCGCGTCAGCCAAACGTGCCTCGAAAGTGTCAGCTACACCCGCATCAACTACGGGGTCGACCATGGCGACTATCCTTGCTGCCGGCCTACGAACGACTTAGTAGGTGCAAAAGTCGGCTCCTATCCGAAGGTCGCGTATTCGTTCCACGCTCACCGCACCATGCGGAGATTCACTCTACAACGGCAGTGAGCTAGACTACAAGGTTGGCACGAACTACTAGAGGTGATCTCAGCTTTGCTTGGTTCCTTAGTGCTTGCACATTCACAGGAGAAATTGGCAAGAGTTTCCACTAGCAAAGTTGGAATTACAGAATTGAATAAAAGAAGCAATGACAACAATGACTACATCAGGCACCTAGCAACCCTGCTCAGCTCGGTCGACCGCCAGCGCAGCTCGGTCGACCGCCTGCCAGCATTGCGTAGAGGAGCCGCGCCAGCACTGCAGAAGGGCGACCTGCCAACAAAGCAGGTCGACGGCGTGTCCCGTAGAACACAGCAGTGCGCGCGCTCGCAGGTGTGCGCAGACGATTGGTCCGACTTGCCTCGTTGGGCATCCGTCGGCTGTTGTCTGCGCCTGACGAGCCACATCGACTTCGGGATACCAGCCCGAAGTCGCCTGCGCCATCGCGATCTCGACGGCATTCGCGTGCCTCCGCAGAACTCGTCGAGCAGGTTACCCGGTCGACCTGGTCGACCCCTGGTGCTCTGGTCGACTCCCAGGTGCCTCCCGTCGACCACTAGGGTCTCTCTGGTCGACCACCGGATGCTCCTGGTCGACCACACCTCCCGTCAAGCTACCCCTTGGTCGACGGACCCCTTCCGTCGACCAGAACTGCTCCGTCGACCTCCCGGTCGAACTGCATTTCGACGGGATGCTCCGTAGACCTCCCAGTCGAACTGTAGGTCGACGGACTGCTTCGTCGACCTCCTGGGCGGCTCACCCGTCGCCCAGGCCAGTCAGTTGCAGCTGTCGAGCATCCTGGTCGACAGCAACACCACAGCGGTCCGCTGCCGCTCGACGTAACCTGTCGAGCAGCTATCCCACTGTGAACAGTCGGCTGCTACTCCCGTGCATCCGACCAAGTCGTCGGCGTTGCCCAAGCGAGGGCGGGGCCAACACTCCATTCCCGTTAACGAAGTCGGACCTGCAGAAGAGACACCCGTGCACAGACCTGAGTGAACTGACAAGCTATCTTGGCTTGCGGATCACCCGGGATAGAGCACGCCGCACCATCACCTTGACTCAGTCACACATGGTGCAGCAGGTCCTTCAACGCTTCGGCTTCACGTACTCCTCGCCTCAGCCCACTCCTCTGCCTACGGGTCACTCGCTCTCAGCTCTGCCTTCAGATGAGTCCGTAGAGCCGAGTTGCCCGTATCTAGAGCTTGTGGGTTGCCTCATATACCTGATGACCTGCACTCGACCTGACCTTGCATACCCTCTTAGCATTCTTGCACGCTATGTCGCTCCCGGCCGTCACCGGAAGGAGCACATGGATGCAGCTAAGAGGGTGTTGCGCTAGTTGTGCAAGTACGTCGGGCATGGGGCTAGTGCTTGGAAGGCGAGACCCAGTTGTTCTCACTGGGCACTTAGACGCTTCTTGGGCAGACGATCAGGCTACTCAGCGGTCGTCTCAGGGTTACACCTTCAGTCTTGGCCTTGGTTCAGTTTCTTGGCGTTCTTCTCGCTCTTCTTCTGTTCTCAGCTCCAGTTGTGAGGCTGAGATCTACGCCACAGCCATGGCGGCCCAGGAGCTACGCTGGCTCACCTACTTGCTGACCGATCTTGGAGAGCGGCCTCGTTCTCCTCCAGTGCTGTACGTCGACAACAAGGCAGCGATTGCCTTGTGTCAGGAGCACAGACTGGAGCACAGAATGAAGCACATTGCTCTGCGCTACTTCCTTGCTCGAGAGCTGCAGCAGCGTGGTCAGCTTCGTCTGCGTTATGTGGCCTCTGAGGGCAACACTGCTGATGTGTTCACCAAGGCGCTTCAGCCTTTTGACCATCAGCGCTTTTGCACTCTTCTAGGCCTTGTGCCTATTGGACCTCACTTGCTTACTTCTTGAGTCTGTTTTTACTGTGGTCTCTATATATATATACCTGCATGTTTACTCTTGCTAGGTTGTGATCTTTGTACCTCTTAGTTCTATTATAAACCTGCATGTGAACTGGTCTTCTGACCACTTGCTTGTGCTCGGAATTTGTGTGGTATCCTTGAGATCCACCCTGAGCTTGTTTTGCCTTGCTTTGCCTTGACTGGTCTTGTGACCCCTAGTTCTCTCCCCACTTCGCCTATGGGGGTGTATCAAACATTATATATGTTGTGCTAGTTTAGGCTACAGTCGGGTTAGCCTATAAGGGGTACACAATTCTAGGGTTAGGTACTTGTACTGATTTCACTGTTAGTTCAATCATTTCTGTTTGTTTATTTCAACACCCCAACCCTACCCTGTGCCCCCAACCCCACAAAAGGCTCTCAACTGCGTAAGCTTCCCTCTGCAGACCATAGCCAAGTCATCCCGCATGGTGCCCGTGCTAGGTAAGTTCTTCAACCCAGCCATGTGCCATGTGACCAACCGAACCATGCCTCCAGCATCGCGTAATGCCGCACCACCACCACATCATGCCACCACGTCACCCCATGCCGCACCACCCTAATTCTTGTTAGAACCCCAATCACTAGACCATTGGGATAAAAGGGCTTGTTTCAGTAGCGGGTGAGTGCGCCCATAACCTCCCAGGCGAACGCGCTTGTAACCCTCTCCAGGATCAATCAGGCATCCACAGTGCAGATCTACTTGACACCCCCCCACACTGGGAGGCCCAGGACTAAACACAGCGGCAACGACCTACATGTGCATACACCGGCAAACAAACCCGAGACCGCTCTGATACCATGTCAAAATCCCAACCACTATACCATTGGGATAAAAAGGCTTGTTTCAGTAGCGGGTCAGTGCGCCCATAACCCCCTAGACGAATGCGCCTGTAACCCTCTCCAGGATCAATCGGGCATCCACAGTGCAGAACTACTGACAATTCCGTCGCAGGGTGAAGAATTTCGCTGAATTTTTCATTTTTTGGGCGAAAATTCCGCTATCGAAATTTTCGACCGATATTTCCGATAATTTCGGTCCCCCTCCCAATAAACAAAATGGTGGAAAATTTCGCCAAAATTTTCAGGAAAAAAAATGAGAAAATCGTGTGTAAATCGATAAAATTTCATGGGTGGACATTGTAATGGCATTTCGCCGCCACATCTAGACGGATCTGGCATTTTGCCATTAGATCTAGGGCGGATCTGGCATTTCGCCATTAGATCTAGGGCGGATCTGGCATTTCGCCATTAGATCTAGAGTGGATCTGACATTTCGCCATTAGATCTAGGGCGGATCTGGCATTTCGCCATTAAATATAGAGCGGATCTGGCGTTTCGCCATTAAATATAGAGCGGATCTGGCGTTTCGCAGTCAGAGAAATTGAGGCAGTGTTTTGTTTTGTTTTGTTTTTTTTTTTTTTAAGGTCTATCAAAATTTTGCCGAAATTTTACAAAAACGGCTGAAACTTTCGAGATAAAATTTCGGTTCGAAATTTTCGCTTAGCGCAATTTTCCATCTTGTTCCCTCGTGCCGTGTACCACGCTGCTGCTGCAACCATGTTGTTACAACCATGCTGCTGTTGCAACCATGCTGCTGCTTTTGCAGATCTGGGGCACGCTCATATAGCCCAAGTAGTACAAGCCCAGGGAGTACATTATCGCCATCACCATCATCCTCGGCTCCTGCCTCTTCTTCCTCAACGTGGTGTGCCTCCCCTCCCTCCTCCTTTTTTGTGTGTTTGTGAGTTAGTTTGTTTGAAAGTTTGTGCGTTTGTTTGTTTGTGTGTTTGCTTGTTTGTGTGTTTGCTTGTTTGTGTGCTTGTTTGTGTGTTTGGTTGTTTCTTTGTTTGTTTGTTTGTTTTCCATCACTGTTGAGTTACTTTGCCTTGTGCATCCTTATTGCCACATTACTTCACCACTCTCAGCTCTCAGTTCCAGTCTCTTTCTACCTTGCCTTCACATTTGTGTGTGACGTGAATAATCGGTCAGTGTTGACTCGTCATTGCTCGCTTGTTCTCGCGGTTCACTTTGGCAGTCAGGAAAATCGCATGCAACCCTCCTCAATGTGTGACCCTTCCTTCCTTTTTCCTTTCCATTCCGTTTCCTTGCTCTCCCTCCCTCCCTCCCTCCCTCCCTCCGTCTCTACACACCCCATCTCCCGCATCCACCCCCTTTTCTTCCCCCGCCTCCTTTCCCCCACCTCCTTTACTTTTCCCCCTCTCCACCACCTCCCACTCTCGTCTCCCATACGGCACCTGTACACGCTCGTGACTCGTCTCGTCCCCATTCGGTAAGGCGGTGCATGAATGGGATATCTGGGGTAAGGCGGTGCATGAATGGGATATCTGGGGTAAGGCGGTGCATGAATGGGATATCTGGGGTAAGGCGGTGCATGAATGGGATATCTGGGGTAAGGCGGTGCATGAATGGGATATCTGGGGTAAGGCGGTGCATGAATGGGAGGTGTGCATGAATGGGAGGTGCATGAACAGGAGGTGCATGCATGAGATGTTTGGGGCAAATTCGTGCATGACTGGGAAGTCTGGGGTATGGTAATTAATGTGTGGGATACCTCTATACGTCATTTCCCCCGCCCACCCGCTCCCTCTTGTTTCCTCCCATCCGTCTTGTTTCCTTGCAAATCTCGCATTCAGCTTTGTCTGTTGACCGACTCATTTTATAAACAAAGCATTTGGTCGGCTCCAGCATGCCCCTTCTCCCTTTCTCCCCTTTCCTCCCCTCTGTGTGTCCTCTCCGTTTATCCCTCCACTCCATCCCACCCTCCCACCTTTGACAGGCTTCACCAACACGTTTCAGGGAAAGCAGTTTGAGGGCTATTACATGCCACCCCTTCTCCCTCTCTTTGTGTCCTGCTCCTTGCGCCTCTCCTTGCGCCTCTCCTTGCGCCTCTCCTTGCGCCTCTCCTTGCGCCTCTCCTTGCCTCTATCCTTGCGCCTCTCCTTGCGCCTCTCCTTGCGCCTCTCCTTGCGCCTCTCCTTGCGCCTCTCCTTGTGCCTCTCCTTGTGCCTCTCCTTGCGCCTCTCCTTGCCCTTCTCCTTGCGCCTCTCCTTGCGCCTCTCCTTGCGCCTCTCCTTGCGCCTCTCCTTGTGCCTCTCCTTGCGCCTCTCCTTGCGCCTCTCCTTGCGCCTCTCTTTGCCCCTCTCCTCGTCCCTCTCCGCCTGTCCCCTCATCCTCATCCCTCCCCTCTTCCCCCCCCTCAGCTTTGACGGCTTCACCAACACGTTTCAGGACAAGTTGTTTGAGGGCTATGACATGCCCGCAGCCAACCAGGTGCTCTTCATCACGCCCTGCTCCTCCGTCATCAGCCTGCTGGGTGAGTCGCACTGCCTTAACCAGACGCCCTGGTTAGGATGCCTGGTGGGTAAGATGCGATGAGTGGGCTATAACCCATGTGTTGCCAGCCAATCAGATGCTCTACATCGCGCTCTGCTCCTCCGTCATCAGCCTGCTGGGTGAGTCACTGCTGCCACCGCGTGCATCTGACCAACCCGGTGCTTCACCTCATTCATGCTACGTCACGCTCTGCTCGTCTGTCATCCCCTGCTGGGTGAGTCGCACTGTTTTAACTAAACGCCCAGGGTAGGATGCCTGCCAGGTAAGATGCGATGCGGTGAGTGGGCAATGACCCAAATGTTGCCAGGCAACCAGGTTCAGGTGCTATGAATCACGCTCTGCTCCTCTCTCATCAGCCTGCTAAGTGGGTTTCTGCTACCACCCATGCAACCAATCAGGTGCTTCACTGCATTCACCCTACATCACGCTCTCCTGTCGTTGTGCTCTCATGTCATCATGTTGCATTGTGCTTCCATACGCCATATACCCTCACGCCTGCCTTGATGTTGTAACGACATATGTCTTATGCCCCTCCCCACCGCTCTGCCTCTCTCACCCCCCACCAGGCCTGCGCCAAGCCCGAGCAATGGCCATCATGCGCCATCCTATTGTGTTGTTCTATCACCATGTTGCCTTGCCATATTTTATGTGTTCCCGTCCCGGCCCCTCCCGTTCTTCCCCATCTGCCCCCACCAGGCCTGCGCCAGGACCTATCAGCGGCCATCGCATTCATCATGCGCCATCCCGACTGTGCCGCTCCATCACCATGTTGCCTTGCCATACGTTTTGTGTTCCTGCCCGGTCCCCACCTTCCCGCCTGCCCCCACCAGGCCTGCGCCAGGACCTATCAGCAGCTATCGCATTCATCGTGTGCCATCCCGACTGTGCCCTCCACATCGCAGTGCTCTCTGTGGTACGCCTTACCTTGCTTCTCTACGATCAGTGCTTCTGTGGAATGGTACGCCGTGCATTCATTACAAACAGCGGTACCGCACCCATTGACAATTCTGGATGTGTCTTAGGTCGTACGTAGGTTTGTTCAAATCGCTGGTATGCCTAAACTTGGTTATTACTTTCCCCCCTACCCCCACCAGGCGACCAGCATCACCCAGTCCTCCAACTCATTTCTCATACACAGGCAGCACAGCACCCGTTCCCCCCTTACCTCTTCCAACCCGCCCTTCATTCCCCCCTCCCACCCGCCCTTCATTCCCCCATCCCACCCGTTTCTTCCTTCCACGCTCCACTCCCTCTCCCAACCTCCTCTCATCTTTTCGCCTACCCCACCAGGTGACCACCATAAGCCAGTTCTTCATCTCCTACACCATCAAGACAGCAACCGTTTCACCCTTTCTCTCCCTGCCTCCCCCTGCCGCCTGCGCCCACAAGGCGGCCACAAGGCGGCCACAATCAGCCAGGTCTTCATTCATCTCCCACACTCCATCAGCACAGCAGCCGTGCCTCCCTTCCTCCTTACCAACTGTTTCCCCGTTCCCCCATTTCCCCCGTCCAGCTGTTCCCCCCTTCCTCCTCCCATCTCCCCCACCAGGCGGCCACCATAAGCCAGTTCTTCATCTCCCACACACTCCATCAGCACAGCAGCCATTCCTCCCTTCCCCCTTACCACATGTTCGTCCACCCTCCTGCCCCCCATACCCCATCAGGTGGCCACCATAAGCCAGTTCTTCACCCCACACACACTCCATCAGCACAGCAGCCATTCCTCCCTTCCCCCTTACCACATGTTCGTCCACCCTCCTGCCCCCCATACCCCATCAGGCGGCCACCATAAGCCAGTTCTTCAACTCCTACACCATCAAGACATTTGGTGCTCTCACCTTCACCACCATCATGACCACGCGCCAAGTGTGTGTTGTGTGCATGTTGTGCATGTCCTCTGTGTGTCTAGCGTGTGCGTGTGAGTTCTTCATATCCGTGTAGGACCATCAAGGCGTTTGGTGCTCTCACTTTTGCCACTATCATGACCACACGCCAGGTGTGTGCTCTCTGCATGTGTGTTGTGTGCTTGTGTGTGTGTTGTGTGTGCGTGTGTAGTATGTGTGTGGGTGCGCATGCTGGGTACTCGCAGTCTGCAAGTTGTGTGCGTGCATCTGCACATCTGTGCACATATGCACATGTGCTTGCCCCATGCTCCATTGGAAGGCAATGAACATGTGCTTCCGTTTTCATCGCAATTATCCGCATGTCAAGGCTTGCACAGAGTGAAACATGTTAATCGAGGGGGTGGCATGGAATGGTGAACTTGGTGTGGTGGAGATGATGAAAACGGAAGCACATGCTCATCGTCTTTAACCACGTCAATGTTTTTTCCTGAATGTTTTTTCCTGACGTGTTCCTTGCATCTCTAAGAAGATCTCTCGATGGACTTCTGTTTCCTGCACGCCTGGTGCGTTTGCCGCCTTGCTTGCTTCCTTGCCACCTTGCCACTTTACAATTCCATGAAAAGGGCATCTGCTAGGCATATGGTTTTACCGGCCTAGCCGCACACGTCTCTGCTGCCCCCATGATTTCAGACGCCACCTGCCAGCAATGCATTTCATGAACACATGCAATGCAAGTGGTTTCTCCGGCCTGTCTGCTGCACGCATCCCTGCTGCTGCTACCCCTCATGGCATGGCAGACATCACCTGCCAGCACGCCACATGTCCGAGCAACTCCACGTGCATGCCAACGAGTGGCAGCAAGGGCGCCACCTGTGCATGCAACCCGGGCTTTGCTGCACTCAACGGCACTTGCCTAGGTATGCTGGTAGTGATGCTACGCGTATGGGTCTGCGCTTTTGCCTCGATGCCACCTTGGCATGCCCACCATCATTTGTGTTCGCTCTAAAGAAACTGGTACTGGGTAGTTGCATAAGTTCCAACATCCATTTCAATGTTTTGTTGCTTTTGCCTCGTTCTTCCGTTCTCACTCTCATCTCAACACGCAGTTTGTGTGTTTCTTGGGTCACAGGCAAATGCGCTGTCATGGAGTGTGGGGCCAACGCCACGTGCAGCATAAATGAGGCAGGGGATGCAATCTGTTCCTGTGACAAAGGCTTTGAAACCCTTGCCGATGGCACTTGTGCTGGTGAGGCACAGTGGTGTGAAGCCCTAAGACATGCTTGCAGTGTTTTTTTCTTGTTTCTTTGTATTCCCATTTCCATCATCTCAGCACAACCTTTCTCGTGTTGCTTGCAGAGTTTTGTTATTGTTGCATTGTTTACAGGTTCCCGATTACATCACGTCATGCGGTTTCTTGTGTTTCTCGGGTCACAAGCAAATGCGCTGCCATGGAGTGTGGGGTTGAGGCGCCTCAAAAGTTGGTGAGTGAGACATGGTGGTGACTTTTGAGTCGAATCAAAAGTCACCAAGGATGGGGCAGGGGTTGCATCCTGTACCTGTAACGACAGCCATGTGACGCTTGCTAATGACAGCTGTTTTGGTGAGAGACGGTGCTCTGAAACCCGAAATCACACTTGCACTCTTTTGTGATTGTTTCATCGGTTTCCTGTTCCCAAAAGTATTTCTCAACACGACGTTTCTCATGTTGCTAGCTAGCATGCAATTTTTTGTTGCCGTTCACACGTTTTGCGACACACCTTTTCTTGTGTTGCTCGCATCACAGTTAGATGTTGGAGGAACTGTGGGGCCAACGCCATTTGTGGCCGTAATGGGGCAGGAGATTACTGAATCTGTAACAAGGGCTTCGAAATGCTTGCCGATATGACTTGTGCTGGTGAGTAGTGGTCCTCTGAAACGAAAATGCAAGCCTACAGTGTCGTGTACTTGTTTCCTTGTTCTTCCATTCCCAAAAATCTCAAAACTCTTTGTTTCTCATGTTTCTTGGCTGCAGTGTTTTGTTGCTATTGTCTTGTTGTCCTATTCTCGAAATTGTCTCAACTCGACACACATTTTCTGCCCTTGTATCACAGACAAATGCGCTTCAATGAAGTGTGGGGCCAGCGCTACGTGCAGTATTAATAAGGCAGGGAATGCATCCTGTTCCTGTAACAAGGGATTCGAAATGCTTGCCAATGGCACTTGTGTTGGTGAGGCATGGCACGTCTGCTTTGAAGCCCAACCTCGTCCTTGTTCTCTTGTTATCCCGTTCATATAAGTGATCTCAACACATCGTTTCTCATGTTGCTCTCTTGCACTGTTTTGTTGCTACTGACTCGTTTCCCCATTTCTCAAACATGTCTCAACTCAACTCGCCTTTTCTCATGGCACTTGCGTCACAGACATATGCGCCAAGTGTGGGGCCAACGCCACGTGCAGCAAGGATAAGGCAGGGGTTGCATACTATTCCTGTAATGAGGGCTTTGACATGCTTGCTGATGGCACTTGTTCTGGTAAGGCGTGGTGCTTCGAAACCCAAAAGCAGGCTCGCAATGGTTTGTTCTTGTTGCCTTGTTTTCTTGTGTCCAAAATCTATCTCAACACAACGTTCTCATGTTGCTTGTTTTTTGTTGCTGCTGACTCGTTTTCATTCCCAAACTTATCTCAATGCAACACATAATTTTTTGTAACTCTTGCATCAGAAACAATTACTCTCCTGTTTTCAAAGGTGTTCCTGTGTTCAAAGGTGATTTTGTGTTCATACCAATTTCCATCCTATCTTCACGCCTATCCTTCCTTGTCTGCACTCATCACACCTGATGTGCTCATGTTTCAGATGCTGCCTGCTTGGCCTTGGGTTGCTCGCCGGGTGGGACATGTCTGAAGCACATTGACAAGAAAGTGCGCTATTGCAAATGGGGTGAGCACCCATAATGGGAGGGGGTAGGTTCTAGCAAGGTGTGGTGGGCTTGTCACGGAATGGTGTGAATGCCTTGCAGGTGGCTCCAGAGGGGCACCTTGTCTGAAGCACATTGCAACAAACGTGAGCTACTGCAAATGGGGTGAGCACCCATGATGGGAGGGGGCATGTGCTAGCATGGTGTGGCAGGCCCGTCATGGAATGGTGTTAATGTCATGCTGATTCTCCACGGCATTAAAATCTAGTGCCTGTTGTTGTGGGACAGCAATGTTTCACCTTTCAGGCTTTTCCCATCCTTGCCAATCTTCAACGATTCTATTGGCATCTCTGCACTGCCCTACCGCTCTCTGTTCTGAGTCAACTCAAAACGCCTTTCAGGCCTTTCCCACCCTTGCTCATCTTTACGGGTCTATTGCAACCCTGCACTGCTCTACCGCACCCTCTCTTGCCTTTACTACCTCCCCCAGACTCGCCATGTGGCAGCTTCCCCACTGGAGCCATCAAGTTCACACTTGCTCGTGACAAAAGAAACCTTGTTCCCAACCTTACCCAGTGTAAATTTGCACTGCCTTGCCGCACCCTCTCTTGCCTCTACTGCCTCTCTCAGACTCGCCGTGTGGCAGCTGCCCCACTGGAGCCACCTGCAAGACCACACCTTCCAAGGCAGGCAACCCGATTCCGTACTGCGCTTGCCCTGACGGCCATGGCATGACCCAAGATGCTTGCATTCAAGGTGTGTCACCACTTTCTTGAGGCATGGTGCTTTACTGTGCCTTACTGCATGTGCCTTACTGCATGTGCCTTACTGCAACTGTCTTACTGCAACTGTCTAACTGCATCTGCCTTCCTTACTGCATCTGCCTTACTGCATCTTACTGCATGTGCCTTACTGCATCTGCATTACTGCATGTGCCTTACTGCATGTGCCTTACTGCATGTGCCTTACTGCATGTGCCTTCTGCATGTGCCTTACTGCATCTGCCTTACTGCATTTGCCTTACTGCATATGCATTACTGCATCTGCCTTATTGCATCTGCCTTCCTTACTGCATCTGCCTTATTGCATGCGCATTACTCCGTCCTAGCTCACTGTATGTAATTCGATGCCTACTGTACAGTCTTCACCAAGTGAGTCACCTAAGTCATTGTGGTAAGACAGCAATGCCCCAGATTTTCTGTTGGCGCGTCCCTCACCTGCGTTCCTCTTTTCCCACTGTTTGCTTTCTGTGCGGAGATTAACTCTACAATGGTAGTGAGACGGACTACAAGGTTGGCACGAACTACTAGAGGTGATCGTAGCTTTGCTTAGTTCCTTAGTGCTTGCACATTCACGAGAGAAATTGGCAAGAGTTTCCACTAGCAAAGTTGGGATCCAAGAATTATCCAAGAAGCAAAGACAACAATGACTACATCAGGCACCTAGCAACCCTGCAGCTAGCCTGGTCGACCGCCAGCGCAGCTCAGCCGACCGCTTGCCAGCATTGCGTAGAGGAGCCGCGCCAGCACTGCAGAAGGGCGACCTGCCAACAAAGCAGGTCGACGGCGTGCCCCGTAGAACACAGCAGTGCGCGTGCTCGCAAGTGTGCGCAGACGATTGGCCCGACTTGCCTCGTTGGGCATCCGTCGGCTGTTGTCTGCGCCTGACGAGCCACATCGACTTCGGGATACCAGCCCGAATTCGCCTGTGCCATCGCGATCTCGACGATGTTCGCGAGCCTCCGCAGAACTCGTCGAGCAGGTTACCCGGCCGACCTGGTCGACCCCTGGTACTCTGGTCGACCCCCAGGTGCCTCCGGTCGACCACTGGGTCCCTCTGGTCGACCACTAGGCGCTCCTGGTCGACCTCAACTCCCGTCGAGCTACCCCCTGGTCAGGCGGACCCCTTCCGTCGACCAGAACTGCTCTGTCGACTTCGCGGTCGAACTGCAGGTCGACGGACTGCTTCGTCGACCTCCCTGACGGCCCACCCGTTGCACAGACCAGTCAGTTGCAGCTGTCGAGCTCCTTGGTCGACAGCAACACCACAGCGGTCCACTGCAGCTCGACGTAACCTGTCGAGCAGCTATCCCACTCTGAACAGTCGGCTGCTACTCCCGTGCATCCGACCAAGTCGTCGGCGTTGCCCAAGCGAGGGCGGGGCCAACACTACATTCCTGTTAACACTCCCCTGCCGCGCTCACGCTTGGGCCTCCAGCCCACACGGCAGTATTCCACGGAGAAAACTCGTCCTCGGCGTGCACCCCACACACAGCACGCCGTCACCGCACCAGCCGTGCAGAAGGGCACGGCACCTACTGCTGCACCTCGTCGTCGTCGTCGCCGTCGCCGATGTCGACTAGGCGAACTTGGCCGATAGCGACAGAGCACCGGTTGAAAGCCGGAAAATGCAGCGCCTTCGTCAGGAAGTCCCCCGGCTGCTTGGTGGTAGGGATGTAGTTCAGCACAAATTTCCCGCGCCTCACCAT